AGGGTTAATTTTGTAATTGTAATTTCTACTATATAATAAAAGGGAGTTTATATAATATATATTCTACTATTATATAATATCATAATAAAACCCCTTTTATTATATAGTAGAAATAAATAATATATATATATATATATAATATAATAAATCATTTACAAATGACTTAAAATATTTAATATTTAAAAGATATATAATAAAATAGGTTGACTCTCAAAATTTTATCCGGGTCACATATATTGGGACAGAAAAAATAACATATATCATTTCAAAATTACCAAAAAAGTATTATAAATAATAATAATTAACAACTTAAAATATCTGAAAGACATTTTAAAAGGGTTAATTTTGTAAGTTTATCCATATCACATAAATAAGGACAAAGTGACCAGCAATGTAAGTTATTTGAAAGTTACATAAAAATATTATAAATCACAATAATTAATAACTTAGAACATTTTTTTTTTAAATGCAAATTTGGATGACTCTTCAAATTTCATTTGTGTCACATAAATTGAGACAACTAAAATAACATATATTGCGCCCATTTTAATTTATTTGTCTTAATTTTTTTTATATTTAAAAATTGCGTAAAAATACTATAAATCATGATAATTGACAACATAAAATATTTCAAAAATAAATACATATAAAAAAATTCGATTAATTCTTGAAATTAATCTATCGTTAAAAATTATGTATAAAATACAATAAATCGTGATTTTGACCACTTAAAATATTTATTAAAAAAACAGAAAAAATTAATTGACTGATTCTTAAAATTAATCTATCAATGTCACATAAAATGAGACAAAAGTAGTAATATGTATTGTTTAATGTGAAATTATTGAAAACTACGTAAAATGTATTATAAATGTTAACAATTAATAACATTTGATTGAATCTTGAAATTTTATCAATGCTACATACATTGAGACAAGTGGAGTAATATATATTAAGTATTTAAAAATTACGTACAACCATATTGCTTTCTGTAGGCTTCGAATTATCGTGGTCATTTTTTAGGCTGATACAAGTTTTGTACTTTTTTTTAAATATTATAAATCGCAATAATTAATAATTTAAAATATTTTTAAAAATTTAGTTGGTTTCGGGAATTTTATTTATACTATATAAAATGGGACAAAGGAAGCAACATATATCATTTACAAATGACTTAAAAAGCATTAAAAATTAGAATAATTACCAATTTAAAATATTTAAAAGCTATATAATAAAATAGGTTCACTCTCAGAATTCTTTCAGGCTCACATATATTAGGACAGAAAAAATAACACATATCATTTTAAAATTACCAAAAAAGTATTATAAATAATAATAATTAACAACTTAAAATATCTTAAAGACATTTTAAAAGGGTTAATTTTGTATTTTTATCCATATCACATAAATTAGGACAAAGTGACCAATAATGTTGGTAATTTGAAAGTTACATCAAAATATTATAAATCACAATAATTAATAACTTAAAACATTTTTTAAAAAAAATTAAAATTTGGATGACTCTCCAAATTTTATTTGTGTGACATAAATTGAGACAACAAAAATAACATATATTGGGTCCATTTTAATTTATTTGTCTTTTTTTTTTTTGGGTTTTTTATATTTAAAAAATGCGTAAAAATATTATAAATCATGATAATTGACAACATAAAATATGTTTTGAAAAAAAATACAAAAAATTCCACTCATTCTTTAAGTGAATCTATCGTAAAAATACTATAAATCATGATAATTGACAACATAAAATATTTCAAAAATGTTGTATGTGGATAGTCTTATTGTACCTTGAATAACGTCAAATAAAGTACAAGTTTGTGATAAAAAAAACTTATTCATTTATCCACGCAAACAATCGCTTCAAAATCTCCGTTATTAGCCCCAAAACATACAATTTATATTATTGGGCCCGTGCCCGTGCATAGCACGGGCAACATTACCTAGTATTATAGACGGAATAGAATATTTGATAGGATTTATATTAAGTGTACAATAATTTACTTTTCTTTATCTCTTATTTTTCTTAGGTATAAATATCGATGTAATTTGATTTATTGGATAAACAAATTGAGACAATCATTCTTTAGCATATCTTCAAGATTCACTTATCCATTTTGGTTGTTTACGCACAACATAACTAATTCATGAGATGATATATACCTTATCAGCATAAATATCGAATAATCTTGTATAATAAGGTTTGGCTATATCGAATGAAATCATGTAATTTTTTTGAATATAAGAACTTACGATTTTAAACTACATTTTTGAATGTGAAAATTGATACTCCATTTATCTCAATTTATGTGACACATTTTGGATTTCGAGATTCAAATAAATTTATCTTTCATCGTAAATTTTTCATATATCTTTTAAATATTTTGAATTGTCAATTACTGTGACTTATAGTACTTTTTACGTAGTTTACAAATATATAAAATTTATTTTTAAAAATTTGAAGATTTCATGAGCAAATTTTGGTCAAACTTAAACAATTTGACTCTCGAAAAACGAAATGTGTCACATAAATTGGGACAGGAGGTGTACATGTTTTATTTCAATTTGTTTTTTAGTCGATTTATAAGAAAAAAATGTCTACTCTTTGCTAACTCTTTAATTTCAAGTTTCACATGGAATGTTAAAATCACAAGATAAAAGTCTTTTTATTTTCTTCATCTTTGTATCAAGTAAAAATCAATCAAACAAACAACTTGAAATTGAGGGAGTACTTTGCTAGTGTTTGGCCTGGATTTTGAATAAGATTTTGGAAATTATCTTTAAAATTCTATTTGAGAATATATTTTGCCATTTTGTATCATATTTTGAAAATATGTCCTAAAAAAAATTCTAAGTTGAATTTTGGGGGAATTTCACTCACAAAACTTTAAACCTTTTCAAGTAAAATGTATGTCTAAATACAACTTCAAGCTTCAAAAATCACAATTACAAAAATACAAATTTTCAAATTTTTAAAGAAAAATCTATAATCAAACCGGAGCTTTATTTGCGTCCTCCATTTCAATACCATTTATATTGCAGGGTTTGTTATATAAAAAAAAATAGAGAAAACTCACGTTTGCCATATATCCAAGTACTTTAAAAAATTGTAATTTAAACACATCAACATATAGGATAAAATAACAAAAAAAAGTTTTAAAACATTTTATATGAATATATTCAAAATAAAGGATTGAGGATATCATTTGGGTCTCGGTACAAAATTACGTGTTACTAATATAAACTCTTCATCTAACTTATATGAAACTCTATATGATAAATAAATGTTATATTTTAGTACCAAAATAACTTACATAAAATATATGCATTATTTTATGTAAAATAACACATGAAATAGGAATACATATATTAGCAAGGCTCTATATTTATTTGAAAAACCAATAGTTTCGTGGGAAACAATTAGGCATAAATATATAATACTCACTAATACATTTATTATATAGTGTATTTTACTATAGAAATATAGTACAATAGCTCATTATGCACGTGAGTGAATGCAATATATTTTTCTATATTTTGAAATCAAAATACCGCTGAACATAAATTGTCCTATTTACAAAAATTCATTTTAAGGAAAGAAAAAAGAGTAGTAATAATAAATACAAATTTAATTTGTTAATTTGTGATATCATATTCCTTTTTAATTAACTAAATTAAATTTTAAGAAAGTTCCGTACTTGTTGCCGAATAATTACACAATCTTGAAACTACCTATTCAAAAAAAAAAAACACCCCTTACTTCTCTACATATCCACAAATCATGTTAATTAGTGGTTTATAACCAAAAATAAATTGGAAGCTTAATTTTTAATTATTTTTTTATTTTATAATTTCTAAGATGTAAAGTTATTTCTTTATTTTTAATAAAAATCTTTATTTTTTTCTATGATCATATATTAAAAAGATATATATATATTAATCTTGTGATCTTAAACTGATAGGGGTGCGCATCGGTCGGTTCGGTTCGGTTTTAGGTGTTATTGGTTCGGTTTATCGGTTTTCGGTTTGTAAATACTTCAAACCGATAACCAAACCAATAACATATTTCTTATCGGTTTTTGGTTAATCGGTTTATGGTACTTAACGGTTCGGTTTCCGGTTTAACCAATAAGAAAATACTCATATATATTATATACACGATAAGAAAATTTTCAAATAGACCATATGATTTTTCCAGCATTTGGCATGAAAGTAATAATCATAAAAGTAACAATCATTTTTCTTGCAAGTTTAGACACTAGACACATTCAAAGGAAAAAGTGTGAAAGTAACAATCGTTTAACCATTAACAAAAAGTGTGAAAGTAACAATCGTTTAACCATTAACAATAAGACTAGTAAATTTAGTATAGTCTTATTGGGTTATCGGTTTAACCATTAACAAAAATTATAAAACCGGAAACCGAACCAATAACCCAATAAAAAATTTTGCAAAACCATTTAAAAACCGTTAGCCCAATAACCCAATATCAATAAACCAATAGTGTTTTTTTCGGTTCGGTTTATTGGTTAAATCGGTTTTTGCACACCCCTACTTAAACATACCATGTGGAAATTAAATTTAAAAATTGACAAAAAAGAAAAAAAAATCTTTTAATCTTGTGATCTTAAACATACCATGTGGAAATTAAATTTAAAAATTGACAAAAAAGAAAAAAAATCTTTTAATCTTGTGATCTTAAACATACCATGTGGAAACTAAATTTAAAAATTGACAAAAAAGAAAAAAAATCTTTAATATTTCAAATGAACTAAAAAAAAACGTTTCATAATGAACTAAAAAAAAAGACAAATAAATTAAAAGATATAGTATGATTATTTTGTTTTAAAAAGAAAAGCTTATAATAATTTTATTATTACTACAAATTTGGGCCCCTTTAAATTTAGGTTATAAGGCGAATATTTTTAAAGCCAATAAGCCACTCCTGAATCAATAGTTAATTTTTCACTCACAGAAAGTTGAATTTTTTTCATTATGTCTGTGATTTCAGATCTCATCAATCTCAATTTATCTGAATGCACGAAGAAAATTATTGCCGAATACATATGGTTAGTTTTTATTCCCTTTAGATTTACTTATGTTTTTTCTGATTTTTAGGTTTTTTTGTCAGTGTTTTATCTGATAGTTTAATCCTATTTTGCTCGGATTCTTTAAAAATGTATGACGAGTGCATGTGTTATCCTTCAAAAGTAATATATTTCTGGAGGATTTGATACAGGCGCACTAACATTTTTTAGATAGTTTAATTGACATAGTTTTAATCTGTTTGATCAGAATTTTGCAGTGATTTATAATCTGTTTTCTATGTATACTTTTGTTATGTAGGAAGTGTTTTATTGTGATCGATCAGTCGATTAATTAGATCTATTTTTATGTATTTTCGTCGTGTTTTTTAATTTTCATTTCTTTAAGAAGAAGAAAGGACATTGTAAAATAAGTCTCCTTCTTCTCGGGATACGAGCTACAATCATCCTAATCTAATTTCGTCTAAAAATTATACTATATAAAATACTAATTCAAAATTATTCGTTATGTATTAATAGTAGATGTTGAATCCTCAGAAAGATAAATGGATCTAATAGGTAAAGAAAATGTACCTTATGTTTACCCTAAAAGAGGCTAGCCCTGTACATGAAGTATTTTTATGAGTAACGTATGAAAGATTTTACCGCTCAAACCCGTGACCAGAAAAATTTACCAGTGGTGCAATTTTTCTCTATTATGATTTTAATCTCTTTACTTGGTATGTATTTTCATGTTTTTTTTTTCTAGGATTGGTGGATCAGGCACGGATCTCAGGAGCAAAGCCAGGGTATTACATAGTTTCGATTATTAATACTATTATTCATGAACAATATTTTACTGGTGTTGAGTGATTGAAGATTGCAAACATGGTGATTTTGTTTTGTTTTTATAATTTACAGACTCTTTCAGGTCCTGTTAAGGATCCTTCAGAGCTTCCGAAATGGAACTATGACGGTTCTAGCACCGGGCAAGCTTCTGGAGAAGACAGTGAAGTGATCCTACAGTAAGTTTTTCTTTAATGTGCAATAATACGTTGTGAAGTTTCATTACTTGAATAGAATCATCTGATGATATTAAAATGAAATTTCAAATAGTCCTCAAGCAATTTTCAAGGATCCATTCAGGAGAGGCGACAATATTTTGGTGAGTTGGTTTGTTATTGTTACCTATTATCGAATCCTGCAGACTCCAAAAATATTGGCGCGCACATGTGTTGATCCTCCAACAATGTGCATTATTTTTGGAGGATCTAACATGTACACGTCAATATTTTTTATGAGTACGAGCAATATAGCTTATTAGATACTGTTTGTTTTTTTCTTGGAATTTGGTAAATGTGTGAGTTTTTAATCCGTTTTTTTTTTGTTTTCTTAAGGTCATGTGTGATGCTTACACTCCAGCTGGTGATCCCATTCCAACAAACAAGAGGCACAATGCAGCCAAGATATTCAGCAACCCTGTTGTTGCTGCTGAAGAACCATGGTATTGAAAAACTCAATTTAGATTTTTAGCGTAAAAAGGTTTTCTCGGGAACATCCTGTCTACCTCACAAAGGTAGGGGTAAGGTCTGCGTTCATTTTACCCATCCTAGACCCCACTTGTGGTATTACACTGGGTATACTGTTGTTATTGTTGTTGTTGTTGTGTCGTTCAGAAATATTTTGATTGTTGGATTAATTTTTCCAATTAGGTATGGTATCGAGCAAGAGTACACTTTGCTGCAGAAAGAGGTTAACTGGCCTCTCGGATGGCCTATTGGAGGGTTCCCTGGACCTCAGGTACTAATACCTTAAACTTTTTATGGAGTTTTGGAGATTTTGAGTTATTTGTGTTAACCATTTGAAAAACCGAGTTTGAGTTGTTTTTTTCGACATTTAGTATCTTGATCGTCAAAATATCTTTACAGATCATAAAGTTACTGAGTGAAATTTGATGATTTGAAAGTTTTGAGTTTTTGAAATCTTTTTTTCAAACACTTACTTTGCAATCTCAAAAGCTCAAACGTGTTTATTTTTCTAGCATTAGCCTTCTCTTTGACGTGGAGGAGCCAAGATTTCAACTTTATAGGTTCTAGATTTTAGAACAACTACGTCAAGTGCTAATACCTCCGCCCTTGCCTTCCCCCAAAAAAGTAGCATTGTTCCCTTTACTTTGCATAACTTTCCCATAACATTGTTGAACTAAAATTCTCTTCTTTCGTATTAAATCTACACAACGAATGGATTTTGTATTTTAATCTTGGAAGTACAGCATTTACAATTCTGCTACTTTTTCCCTTAGGGACCTTACTACTGTGGAACTGGAGCTGCCAATGCTTTTGGACGCGATATAGTTGACTCACATTATAAGGCATGTCTTTATGCTGGAATTAACATCAGCGGTGTCAATGGGGAAGTGATGCCTGGACAGGTATAATGCTTTTTTCATACAGAGGCGAATTCAGGATATAGAGTCAGAGCGTTCAAGAGTATGATCTTAATTTATTTATTTTTGTATATGTATACATAATTCAAACTCATTAAACTTGATGTAATTTTATGCAGTGGGAATTCCAAGTTGGTCCTGCTGTAGGTATCTCAGCTGGTGATGAGGTGTGGACTGCACGTTACATTCTCGAGGTATTATACTTGGTTGTTTTAAACTTTTTTACCATTTCAATCTTCAATCTAGCTCGAATGGGGAGTTCGATTGTTTCACTTGCTTATTTGTTTTCGTGTTGAACAGAGGATTGCTGAGGTTGCTGGAGTTGTTGTTTCATTTGACCCGAAGCCTATCCCTGTGCGTTTTCTGTTTTATATCTTTTTACTATTACTTAATGTTGGGTTGATCTGCTATGAGGCTTGCATTTACATCATGTTTTTTTCCTGTTTACTGTCAGGGTGATTGGAACGGTGCCGGTGCACACGCAAACTACAGGTAGAGAGGAATGTCATTTTTCTTCTACTATAGTATATGAGTCCGTCTAGCTAAACGGATTAAAAATAACTTATAAGCATGATCAAGTGTTGAAGAACATTTTAAGCGTTGAAACTGATTTTATGAATAAGTAGTTATGTGTTAGGATAGAAGTTCTTCATCGAACTTCCTTTCCCCTGCCCCCTTCTTTGGCTCTCGCGCTCTCTCTATGTGAAAGTATTGACGCGGAATGTTTCTTTCAGTACCAAGTCTATGAGGGAAGATGGAGGCTATGAAATCATCAAAAAGGCTATTGAGAAGCTTGGATTAAGGCACAAAGAGCACATTGCTGCTTATGGTGAAGGCAATGAACGTCGTCTCACTGGAAAACATGAAACAGCTGACATCAACTCCTTCAAATGGGTACGTAAACTATCGTTTAATTCCCTCTCTTCAGCCCATCAATGTTGCCAATCTTTCGTTCATTTCGTGTCTACTTAGAGGATACGAGTGATGTTGATCTCGAGTGTCTGTCTCATTTTATGTTGCTACATTTGTTTGCCCAGGGTGTTGCCAATCGTGGCTGCTCGGTTCGTGTAGGCAGAGATACAGAGAAGGCAGGGAAGGGATATTTCGAGGACAGGAGGCCTGCTTCGAACATGGACCCCTACATTGTTACATCCATGATTGCTGAGACCACAATTGTCTGGAAACCTTAAGCTGTTCATTAGTGTCTCGCTATGTTTGCTCGAACCCTTTAGAAATTCTATCCTACTCATGTCTGATTCTCTAAAAACGTATAACTTTTGGAGGATCTGACACACACTCGACAATATTTTGAAGAGTTCGGGCTCATGAGGACAATTGTTTCTTGCGTCAATAAATTGATTTATGGGAAGTTACCACTTCTTCCCCTCAATTGTCTTTAGTTAAGGTAGTCTTCTTTATTTTCTTCTATTATTTCTTTGAACAATGCATTCATCAAAGGCTGAATTCACTGCCTTTGATTTAGTAATGTTGTTAATGACTATGTTATTCTTATTGATTTTGACTTATTTACGTTGCTTATGAGTGCACATCTAATGTGTTTTAGCTTTTGTGTACTACATTGCATAATTTGGTAAAAGTTGACCTACAACAACAGGTAATTATATATAGCGTGATTAATATAGTACATGATTCAAGGAAATAGGATACAGAAACATATTATCTTCGTTAAGTTATATTGATATTGTAAAATTTCTTACATTATGATACATATTTTAATTTAGAAGTTAATAGTTAAAAGAACACCTAAAGCCATCAAAATGGGCTTAGCCCATGAGGCTGGCCCAACCCAACTCGTTATTGGGGTAGAGTTGGGATAGGATTTTTCAAGTCCATTCAAAATTAGGGCTTATAAGTCCGGCTCATATAAGCCCTTGGCCTTTGAGGCTTGATCGGGGTCGGATCGGGGTTGGCCCATGGGTCAAAAACTATTTATTAAAGGATAACTTACAGAAATTTCATTAGTGTATGAGATGATTACTTAGATGCACGCCACGTTGTAATAGTATGAATCTAACCAGATTTTGGTGTGTTTAGATACATGTATCTCGGGACACATGGACTCAAAATTATGTGTAATTTGTTCTAAATACACTCTATCCAAGTGAATTCGCATGTATCTAAGATACATTGTCAAATCCCGTGCCCTTGCCACTCTCCCATCTCGCTCGCCACTCTCTTTATATCGCTCGCGTATCTGGGATGTATCACACCAGATACATGTATCTCGTGTAACTAGTATCCTAGATACATACTAATCACACTAGATTCTTTGCTAGTGTTATTGAAACAACACCATTGTTTGTCAAATTTGATTTGAAAATCTTCTCATTTTCTTGATGTCATAGAAATTTAAGTTTGAAAAGGAAAAAAAAAAAGGATAGCCTTCCCCAGCTAGCGGCCCTTCTAGGATTGGGTTGAGCATTTTCAGGCCTTTCCAAATGAAGGATCGGCCCATCCTAGCCCATCAAATTTCTTGACCCGCGAAGCTTGGGTCGGATGGGGTTGGTCTGACCCTTTTTAACAATTCTAAGCACACCTCATAAGAAAGTAAGTCTATCAAGTTAGACACCATAAAGGATCATCTAAACAAGCTATATAATCATATATATACACCAGATGAATCAATGAGTTGACCGCCCTTTTCCCTTTTTGTGTGTTTCACACTTCAAGTATCAGTTGTATCTTCTTCTTTTTTAATCTGGAATATCATATACTATCTATATATTAAAACATGTCTTGAAGTTGATTATGTCAATCATCATTTATTTATTTATTTATTTATTTCTACCTGAATTATCCTCATCTAATTCAGGGATGGCTCTTGCTTGATAAATTTAAGGCACATGCTTTTGCCTCAAATTTTCATCAAGAAAAAATTATGTGTTAATTTTTTTAATTAAAAAATAATTATTTTTGCTTAAAAAGTATAATTTTAAACAAATATATATTATTTTATTATTTTTAATGCCATTCAAATAGAAGAAATTAAGAAAACATTATTTTGTATGTTTACATTCTCTTCGCTAACACTCGTATTATTTATCTTTTTAAAATTCTTTTGCACTTTCTTTTTATTTATTTTTTATAAGTTAGAGTAATACATTGTCAAAAATAGAAATTAATAGTCGAAAAAATTCAACAAAGTGACTTACAATTTTTCTTTTGTTTATTTCTTCATAAATATTCAAGTATTACATAAACATATTAAAGTAGGGTTATACCAAGTTATCAATTTCTTGTATCAGATTTTGTCGTTCTAATTCGTATCTTTATGTAAAGTTTGTCAACTTATTACTTATAGTATTATGCTAACAATTTATATAATGATTGCCTCAGTAAAAAGATATTTTTCAATGTTGAATTGATAAAATATTACTTAAAATTAATAATTAAAAATGATATTCGAAAAAAATCATTTTAAGAAAAGATATCAAGTAATAGCTTGCACTTAAAAAGTTTAAAAAATAAACAACTATATTTAATATTTATATAGATTTTAGGCCTCAATTAAAATTTCGTTTTAGGCCTCAAATTACGTTGAGCCGCCCTTGATCTAATTCAACAAAGTGTGTTTTAATTCATAAATAGTAATGGTTCAGATAAAAAAATAATACAACAAATACTTGAAATGTAAAATTCGCGAAAATAAGAATGGTTCAAATAATTTTGTAACCACTATCTTTTAATTTTGTCGTGTTATCATCCTTTTGGATTTCTTCCAAAATGATTACTTGTGAACTAAAGAGAACTGTCAAGTCTTTCATTGGTTGATCTAAAGTTGCTTCACCGTTATGCTATCTATAAGTTATTATAACAATCACAAGATCATTGTGCTTTCGTAATGTGGTCCACTAGGATAACAATCTTTCCGGTCACACTATATTAAAAATAATTTTTATCGACATTTAATTAACGACAGATCGATAAAAACCTAATTATCAAATATATATTCTTAACATTAATTAGCACTCTTGATAGATATTCCTAATAGTCTATAACCACATTGAATTTAAAGATAATTAACTAATATTTATAAAGGCTTTAACACTCTTTATATATATGCCGCTAAAAAATATTTATACTATAATGTGGACAAGGTTCAAGAAGTACTTTACATGATTTTTTACTCTCCTAGCCATGGACTGGATCTATGATTTTTTTTTCCAGCCATGAACAAGATTGGTTCAATGAAATTTCCCCAAAAGTAGCAAAATGCTTAGTATACATTGATTTTTTCTTTTAGCAGCAATATTTATTGTCACAAAAAACATTTAACGGCAATTATGTTAATGTCATTGCATTCAAAATCGCTAAAGCTTTTAGTAATCTTATATAAATTATTGATTATAAATATGAAAAAATTCTTTGGCCAAAAAACTTGGTCAGAATTTGACCAGAATGGTAAAATAACGAAATCTTCAATTTATTGAAGTCTAGGAGGCTGACCCGAGCCCAATGCACAAACACCGATAGCTACAATCGTAATTCTTTCAAAGCTAACTATGATGGATAAATATAATGTGTTCAAATTTTAGGCACAGAAATATTTTTATTGAGAGTGTCATCCCCAAATAAGTCCTGGAATAAGCTACCTAATTTTAGTTGACGCTTCAGAGCAGACTCTAAACATCAAATGGAAACCCAAAAAAAAAAAACTACACCATGTAAAAAAAATTCAAAATATTAATATGCTTGAGAACAGATCTTATAAATCATGTAAATTTTTTTGCTTAAATTTTTTATCGAATTACATTATGTCACATAAATTAGAACAATAAAAATATCTAACTAACAAGCTAAGCTCAAACATCTCGTACGTAAGTTGGTTTCGTAAAGTTCACATCATATCAAGTCTAGCGCCAACTAATGTCCTTAGATGTTGACATCTTTTTTACGACACGTAGTAGAATAGTTCGAAATTTCTTTATTCTTAGTTAGGAATTTTAAATTTGAGCTTTTGAGAATGAAAAAAGAATCTATTAAGAACGTTGTCTCAAAAGTAGGTCTTGTAATCGTATTATTGAATTTCAATGTGAATATTGAACACCTAATACAAAAGGGCAATGTATCGTTCCACATTTTTTCAATTTTTAATTAAACAACAATTAGTGAAAGAAATTACTAAAAATGTGGGGATGATTTGACTAACCTAAATATTCAACAAACTAAAGATACCACATTGTTTGGCTAAGTTAGGCAAAGATCTAATTAAGATATTGGCAACTAGTCAACAAGTTGTAAACTAGAGTTATATGATATAGGTCATTTAATAAAGAATTAAACATTATTTTCTCCGTTTTAGTTTATGTAATTCAATTTGAATTCTCATAAAAAAAAATTAAACAGAAGATATTTGAAATTGCGATCTTAAACATGATAGGGTATCTATGTAGCTATAAAACTTTTAAACTTTTAGCATTAAAGATGACAGAATATTTGTATAAGCTAAGTTTTTTTCTAATTAAGATTAAAATTAAAAGTATAAAGTTGATTATTTTCAAATTTGAAGTGTGTCATACTTTCTAAACAAATTATAAAAGAAGAGTGGCAGGATTAAGTTTAAATATGAAATTTATAAAAAAAATATCAAAGATATAACTAATTTCGAAATAAATATTTACTTTAAATGATAATTATAATTTTAAAATTATAATCTCGAAATACTTTTTTCCGCAAACTAAATGAGTACACGTACAAGCAATTAAGGATCCTATTTAGGACATAAAAGATTGTAGTAATGTTTTACAGCTTTGAGGATTTTCTTAAAGTCTAAATCTTAGTGATTGCCTCATTCTTTTAAGGTTGGCATAAAAAGTTCCAAAACACTAAAAATGATTACTAATGACAAGAATTAGAAGTTATTATATATAGTATTTGAAAAGTAAAATTTCTAATCCTTAATTCTTTTTTCATTGAGAAATTACTGACTTGATTAATTTAAATTTTATGATAAACCTTTTTTATTTCATAACGAGAGACTTTAGTATTATTTATTAAAGTATGTTGTATTATCAAAATTCAAACTTGATACGTTTAATTGACAATGAAAAATTAAAGTTTAATATATAAATATGTATATTTATTTAAAACCCTATAATACTTTTTGCTGAATGTTGAGTTTATTGTGTTTTTGTAAAGCACTTTGGTTATATATATTTCAACTCAACAAGAAACTTTACAATTTGATCTGAATTATTTGATAAACAG